TCATTTAATAAGATATTGAAGCTTACTATAATATATTCACTTATTCAATATTTTCTTCATAAGATATTCAGTATCACTCTTAATCTTAATATTATTCAGTTAAGACAGCTCTGTTCTGAGATATTACTTATAAAGCTTTAAATAGAAAATGTAAAAAACAGAATGAACTGATTTTAATTCTGTGAGTAATTTCAACTTATATATATGCTTACTTATCACTCTTATTACTAGAAAAGATTCTAGTCACTACTTACTGAGCTTTTTATATAGTCTTATTATCTTGATATTCTTTACTGAAAGTAGTACTTGATTCTCTATCAAGAACTTCATTAAAAGATGTTTCAATTATAGTATTTCATCTATTATTATTATTATTATTATTATTATTATTCTTTCATTATACTTATATGCAAGCGGAGCTTATGATAAGTTCTTACATGATGTTAAATACAGGTCAAGTGTTGGTTATACAGGAGGAAATACAGGTGTTGAGACCATGCCAAGAAAACAAGAACATAGGAAATACAAAGAAGTGACAATTAGATACATGCGATAATAACTTCCCAGCCCAGGAACATAGAGTGATTTATTGAAGCGATTTGTACACCTCTGTATTTATTAGAAACCTGAGGTGCTTGGGTTCCAGATTTAATGTATTCCCTGCGGGTTTCGAACTCACATACCTTGGTTTCCCACGCCAAGGCACTACCAGGTGGCCGCATTAATCATTCAGCCATCAGGGCGTATTTCATCTATTACTTCTAAGCACAGTGAATGCTTTTTATCACCTTCTTATGAATTTTATTCAAAAGTTTTAATCTTGCTTTTATTTCTGATACTGAGAGATACTTAGTTCTCTGTATCTATTTAACATTCTGACTGTTTATTTCTCTCTTTGAAATATTATCTACAATGTCACTGAATAACAAAGAATTATATTTATAATAAGTATAGAAAGAAGATATCTTTAAGATTACATTCTTTATATTATTATATATAAATTCAGCAGTTAGAAGATGTTTAAGTCAATTATTCTGATAATATAATTAAAATACTTAAAGATACTATTCTAGTATCTGATTCTGATATTCAGTCTGACTATCTGTCTGTGAATAAAATACAGTACTGAGAAGACATTTTATTATAAAATAATAGTAAAAAGCTGATCAGTATTTACTGATGAAGAGAAATTCTTAATCTATTATCAGTGATTTCAGAGCACTGTAATTATGAATAATAATATCTAAAAACAGGTCAGTTAATTCAGAGACTTTAATCTTTTTATAAATAGAGATATATCTGATTATCTTTATAAAGTAATTAATAATAATCAAAATTGAGTTATATTCTTTGACTCTTGTTAACTTTGATAGATTAACTATGAAATTCATTGATAGATTCTGTTATAAGTTCTTTGAAATAGGCAGTGATATTAACTCACTATATTACTTATATCACAGAATCTTTATTCTTTAATAGATATTATAAGTTTTAATATACTCTTTGATATCTGCTCAGAGCTTGTCTTAAATATATTTATATTTTAGAAGCTTCTTAGTCTTCTCTAATCTGAAGTGTTCTGTATAAGAATTATTATAATAAATTCTCAATAACTTCTGACACATCACTCTGCTATAAGAGATAAAGACTGAATTATTTAGTAGTAGAAGTTCATATTCTTCTAGTTATCAGTAACATGATTTCTTAGTAGTACTGTCTCACTCAGAGTCTATCTCTTTCAAGTTCAAACTGAATTCTTTCTTTAACTTCTGAATTTAAGCTGTAGTAGAGATATCTCTCTTCTATAACTTATTAATGAATTCTAAAAGTAGTTGAGTTAAAAGATTATAGACTGTTTTATTCTTTATTAATTCAATAATTATAAGATATGATATAAGAAGCTTATAATTTTTAGTATCAGTTCTCTGTAGAGATCTGAATTTTCTTTCATCTTCTATACTGAGGTATATAGCTAGACTGACCGTGTGACCGTGTCTGGGACCAGGACCAGATTTTTTGATAGTTCTATTACCAATTCGACTGATCCCATTACACGGTTTTAATATTAGATAGTAGTCTCATACTGTTCCAGTGAGACTTACTGTCTACTCTTGTCACATTTTTCAAATGAGACCATGATTTCCACTTCTCAATTTAAATTATTTTTATGGCTTTAAATGACTTTAAATCTCATTTGAGTGTTACCAAAAAGCATTACTTTTTAAAAAATTAAAAATAGTCTAAAAAAAACCTTAAAATGTCTAAAAATAGTAACTTTATACTAAGAATGAGACTAAATGGGATTAAATGAGATCACTTTCTCATTTTTTTTGAGTCATGGTTTCATTTTAAGATCTGATATATAGTCACTTCACATGTTTTTTTAATAGCCAGTCCCAGCGGGATTCACGCTAAGAAATGTATGAGATCAGACCAAATGAGATCAAATGTGAAATTCATGGTCCCGGCGGCCAGTCTATATATAGCTATCTTATCAACACTGTTTCTAAGCTTCAGAGAATCTTAACTCTCTGCAGTCAGCTTCTTCTACAGTGATAATAGAGATTCTTTTATAGAATTCTTCTCTGTATTAATGATATTATAATTAGACTACTTAGATAGTATATTAGTAAGATTAAGCTGATCTGAATAATATCAGATATAGAAATTATACTCTGAAAGCAGCTTCACTTATCTGACTTAATATTCTATCAAGCTCTTTATTATCAAGAAGTAATGTAGATTTGTATAATCAGTGAGAACTTATACTGAATACTTACTACTCTGAAGATAATATTATCAGATCTGAAAGAATTTGATAATTACTAACATTTCTTAATTATAAGTATCATATCTTCTCTGTGTAAGTAATAACTTCTTGAAGAAGAAGATTAGACTGACCGTGTGACCGTGTCTGGGACCAGGACCAAACTTTACAGTTGTCATGTTGCCTAAAAGCATTACTTCTGGTCATGATTTGTGTTCATTACATTGATCTCAAATCACATTATTTCAAATATTAAAGGTCTCAGATTCACTTTTCAAATAAAAATCTAGTTCTGAATAAAGAATATGTTTGAATTCTTAGTCACATTTTCATTCTGATTTCATTATTGAGAATGGCATCAAATGAGATCATGAAATCACTTCTCACTTACATAATATCATAACATAGTACTCATTTGTTGAAAATTCAATAGAGAGTGTTATCAAATATTATTACTTTTCTGAACACAGATCATAATTCATATAATTTTAATTATGAAAAAAACATAAAATACAAAAAAAAATAAAAAACAAAAAACAAAACAAACATAAGAAAAAATCACATTAAAAAAAAAAAAAAGAAAAGGAAAAGAAAAAAACAAAAAATAAAAATGAAAAAAATCAAGATTGCAGAGCCACAGCATTCTTAAAATACTCACTCTTCAGAGTCTTTGCAATGTTCATCATCAACTGTGTATTTCTCACAGTGAGAGTAACACAGCCGTGATGAGTCATTGTCTTAACATTATCTAATAAATAATCAGTATATATCTGTATAAATGTGAATAATTAGAAAATATACACTCAAAAAGTGTGGCCAGGATGGACTCTGCTGCCACTTGAATGACATCAAGAGCAGAATGCTGAAATCAATGATTTCTCTCATTGATTTCACAGACAAGGTGTGTGAAGATGATCTTGAAGAATATAAGATTCTCTGACTTCTGATAAAAACAGATCTCACAGAGAGACTCTATTTTCATGATATCAGAGACTGAGTGTTATCAAAAAGCATTACTTCCATGCAATGCACATGCACTTACTGCAGCAATTCATTCTCTGCACATGTGACTGAGAGTTACAGCTTTCTCACACTGCACAGCTCTCTCTGAGATGCTGCTGTCAGTTTGCAACTCAGACAGTCTCTCAGTCCAGCATGCGCTGCGCGTATGCAGCCCTGCATGCTGGGGCTGTGTTGGTCATTATGGCCTGGTGTGGTACTCGCTTTTCGCGAGTCATGTTTTGTTTGAGGGGGGAGAGAGGGAAAGACATGACTGTTGTTTTATTGAGAAAGAGATGAATAATTAGTATTATTGAATTAATTTGATTCATCTGCATTTAAAATTTGATTAGTTTATACTCTTCAATTTGAGGGTTTCTATAAGTGTTTTAATAGTTTTCATACCAGCTTGAACTTAGTGATGGGTTGAAGAAGAAGAGAAAAGAGAGAAGAAAGAAATAAGAATAACTTATCTTTATAATATGAAAACAGAGAATCACTGTAATCATTCTTCCTAGTAACAAAGATCTGTTTTCTGCATGTATCTCTGATATAGATTATATGATAAATGCATACAAAGAATATCAATAGTGCATGTATTGAATGAAGATAATGTTACTATGCAACACTGTAGCTGTTTCTGTACATCTCTGAAAGCTGTTAATAGTTTCTTTGTCTCTTTATGTTTGATAAGTCAATAATATATTCCGATGCACTTTCTCTTTCATTATCATCATCATCATCATCATCATCATCATCATCATCATCATTATCATCATCATCATCATCATTACTATTATTACTATTATTATCATTATCACTATCATCATCATCATCATTATCATCATCATCATTATTATCATTATATCATTGCCTGCCTTCACCTCTCTCTCAACACTTATCAAAATCAATCATGTCATCTTTCTTCAAATATTCTGCGGTCCTGCAGACCATCAAGGCGCGTGAGTGCTGTCACAGATTGAAGAGAGAGGAGAAGAAGGTGTTCAAGCACAGGGAGACAGATTGCAAGGCATGTTATAATGCCTTGAAGAGGCTCTGTAAGAGAGTAGAATGATAACAATTTTAAGTAATACTTCTGATAGATTTAGACTGAACTAAGTATAGAAATAATACAGATGACACTGTCTGTGAGAGATTGAAAAAGAAGATAGTGAAGAGCCTCATGCAGCAGTGATGAGACCAGGAGAAGTTCTGAGAATAATTTAAGACCAAGATGAAGAGAGAGAGAGAGAAGAAGAGTGTTACTATAAATAAGCAGCAGCAGAAGAAGATTAAGAAGGTATTAGAGTGAGAGACAAAGAAGTCAAAACTGATAAGTTTTTTATTGAGAGATAACAATTTTTGATAACACTTCTGTTCTCTAATTGATTAGCAGGAGCTGGCAGAGGAGGAGAGGATTGAGGCCTTGTTCAGGTCTCAAATGCACTTCATGATTCAGGACATTGAGGAGGCAGCCCTGCTCTCTGAGCATGTCAATCTGCTTACCGCTGGGGTGGAACCTGAGACAGCAGACCAGGAAATGTGGGATTTTGAGGTGCAGGTTGACCTGGCTGAGAGGGAGCAGTGAGAACCCTTCTCTGAGAAGGCAGTGAAGGGAGATTTTGAGGTGATTATCACCTCAGATGAGAAGGAGAAGAAGAAGGAGGAGAAGAAGAAGAAGAAGAATGAGAAGTGAATTATGAAGAATGATAAGAAGAATGAGGAAGAGAAGAAGTAGATTTTTTTCTTTTTATATTAGTTAGTTATAAGTTTAAGTTTTTAATTATTAATAATTAAAATTGATTTTGAGTTTTCAAAAATTATTGTACAAGTTGTAATCAAGTCAGGAATGATATATATATATATATATATTTAACTATCATGATTCATAAATCACTATAATGTATAAGTATCAACATTTTTTCAACATTGATATTCACAATATTAATATATTTTTAATAATATCATCTGATAATGTAATTTGATAACACTCTCTTTCACAATATTAATATATTTCAAGAAATATGACAGAGATTAATCAAGATTGTTTATTTACTTTTATACATCAATGATATTCAATCTGAGTTAGTACTAAAATTATAACTAAGCTAAGAAACAAGATTATTTTCTCTTATATTAATTCTTCTTACACACATCAGTGATCAGTTATTGAAAATAAATTATTATCTTTCTCAAATTATTATCATGTCTTCTGAATTCACTTCTTTCACTTCTTTTACTTCTATTGAAGATTCACAAACTCTTCAAGAAATCACTGTGAATCACAAAGTCTACATTGTTTACAATTCAACACAGAATGCTCTCTTTCAATTATGATGAATAATCACTTCATTCTTCACATTTGATTTCAGGTCATGAAATTTATGGAAAACTCAACACAAATATCAAGATGAACTATGAAATAATTATTAACAGGTTGCATTGCAGATTACTGAAGAGCTATCTCTTTGCTGCAATCACTGCAACTTTATTCAGAAACATTCATCATAAACTGGTTATAACTCTGAAGAAATTTCCTGACATCTGAAGTCATCAGAATGCAGACAATAAAAGAAAAATAATCAGAAAATTACTACTGAGCTGATAAGTTGCTCTATCAGATAATGATTTTTGATAACACTAACTTTCTAATTTGAAGAAAATCATGTGAAAATGACTTCATATCAGTACTCTGATTTCACAACTCTCATCTGATAACTTCTGTGAACAATTACTTTGCATGTGTATATCTCTGAATCTTTCTCTTCAATCAATTGAAAACCCTGAATTCTGAACACTTCTTCAAATGCTTAATTCAAATCTTCATATTTTATATCAATTCTGTCTTCAGTTCAACCTCAAGATATACTACAAAGTTAATATGCAACATCTAGAATCAGAGTTGAAGAATCATCAAAGAGTGTCTCTCACAGTGAATGCATAAACTAGTACAAACAATCTTGCATTTATGAAAGTTACATGTTATTATATTGATGAGAACTGAACTTATCAAGAGACATTAATTGAATTTAAATCATTGATCAGTAGTCATACTGAGGATTATATAGCAGAGGTATTAATAACTGTGATTAAAAATGACTATTAGAATATTAGTCTCAGTCTTCTTACAATTACAACTGACAATACTGTGAATAACTACACTATGATGAAGAGCTTGAAGCAAAAATTGACTTTGCATTTCTGAAATGATAAATAAGGTCATATTCTCTGCATTGCTCATGTGGTTCAACTTGTGATGTAAACACTGATAAAGAATCTTAACATTGAGATGAAGAATAATGAGATGGCTGATTCTTGAGATGAGAATGAGATAGAAGTGATTACTCAAGTAACTTTTACATTCACTTTGCAAAAGATAATGTTTTTTGACAATACTTTTTGATATTGCTTTTTAATAACACTTTTTGATAATGCTACTGTTAATTTTGAATAGATTGACTAATAATTTAAATATCATAGATTTGAAACATTGCTAATGTGATTTGTATCTCTTCTAAACAACAACAACAATTCCATGATATTCAACAAACAAACAAATCAGTCACATCACTGAATATGATACAGAATGTTAGAATATGATGAAGTTTAACATATAAGATAGCTGTTCAGACTCTTTGATTGCATCAGATGATTGATCATTGAGTGCAACACTCTGATCAGGAAAAGATTCAGATATTGAAACTTTCTGATATGAAGTGAACTCAGTTGAAATATGTGATTGATTTACTGTTTCAGTTTTATAAGACAACAAAGACAGTCTCAATCACTTATACACCAATGCTGCAGTCAGCCTGGTGGGTGTATAACAGTTTATTTACTTATCTTAAGAAGCAGTTGAATCACTCAAAAAGAAATTCAGTCTGAAATGATGCTATAGCACAGGCTATTGTTGCTGCAAGGGATAAACTGGCATATTACTACAGCAAAACAGAACAATCTTTTGCAGAGTACTATGCTATAGCAGCTCTACTAGATCCCTCTCATTGAGTTAACACCTACACTTCTCAAGATTGAACAGAGAAGGAATGAGACTCATATGTCAAATTAGCTTAAGACTACTACAATGTCAACTATCAGAGATTTGAATGAGCAGATGTTTGAGATGTGAAGACAGTGAAATACAATTCCCTAGTAAGTAATAATCTTTGATAACACTTCATATCACATAGAACTATAATACTAACTTTGAAACAGAACTTACATACATTGATTGCAACTGAAAATCAGGCAAAACTACATGCTTATAAAACTGAATTTGACTGCTATCTTCAAGATAATTCAACAAATTTACACACTAAATCAATTCTAGAGTTATGAAAAATTGTTGAGAGTATATATTCAACTGTTGCACTGATAGCATGTGATATTCTGACAATTCCATTGACAGGGGTGAGAATGAAGTGAAAGTTCAACTCAAGTCAAGATATTTGTCACTATCACTGAGGACAATTACAAGGAGAAATAATCAAGAAACTCATGATTATAAAACATGAAATTATCAGACAGTTTAATACCTCTGATCACAGTATATCAGAGAAGTGTAGTTTTCATGAGAAAGTGAAGAATAAACTTGCATAAGAATGTATTTAGTTGTTTCATGAGTGTTATCAATAATTGTTACCAAATTCTGATTATATAAGCAATCACTGAATGAACTGAATGAGACTGATTTTGATCTTCAGTTTCAGTCCCATTCTGATTTTGAAAGAATGATCATCTTTCACAGTTTATCCTGGAAAATTACTCTCATTTCACTGTTCTTGAATTAAATCTGGTCATTTTTCACACCATTTCTCTCAGAAATGGTCCATTTTCAGATTTTTTTGAGGCTTGATCCTGGTGGGACTCACGCCAAGAAATGTATGAGACCAGACCAAATGGGACCAAATGTGAAATTCATGGTCCCGCCGGCCAGTCTAAAGAAGATCACTGATTTTTATTCACAGTGTTTTATAAACTTTATAAAAAAGTCTTCTTTTACAGACATTTCATTATCTATATTCTCAGAGATAATTATTCTCTGATTCTTTCAATATTGAAAGATCTTCAGTATCAACTGTGAAAAGATTTCATAGATCTCATTCTTGAATATATCAGTCTCACACTGACTGAGTAAGTTAAGATTAAAGTAATTCAGTATTATAATATCTGTAAAAACTTGTTTTAATTCTACAAATATCTATATAATATCTTGAGTAAGAATAAATAGTTCTGTTTTTCTGTCTTTTATATTTCTCTTTAATAAATCTGTAAGAGAAGCAGTAATCTGTGAATATATATAGATAAATTATCTGTAGAAATTTATAAATTCTAGAAATATTTGCATCTCACAGTATATTTATAGCATCAGCTAGTTCTTAATAACAGAGACTCAGCTTCTATTTATTGAAATATTATTCATCTTAATAATATAATCTAAGAAATCAATCTTCTGTATATAGAATAAGTATTTTTCAGTGTTTATATAGAGTTGATACTGTCTTAAGTAACTTAATACTTCTTAAATATAAGTATCATATCGATTTTTCGAATAAGAACCCGCCGATAGATCCATCGAAAAGCCCTCGATCATACGAGCATTTGGACCCCATCGCCGACCGCATACCCCGTGTGGTGGTGGAGATATCCAGCCAAACGTGAACTAGACGTTGTTCGAAACTCCCGTGTGGGATTATCCCCCGTTCACCCCTACCACACCACAACCCCGGGCCAAAGTGCCATACAAATTGTAAGGTGAAGAGACATAGCCATATGCGCCAATCTTCTTGATTTTGGAAGATCCCCGATCTGTAATTGTGGAGATATCTGAGAAGCGACCTCCGCGAAAACCCTGTCCACCTTTGATGTTCCAAAACATCAACGCCAAGTCCCACCCTCGTACCGCCCTTCCCAATCTGGCCCATCCCCGGCAGAAAAATACAAAAAGATACCTCGGCGATAATATCAAGCACATAATCAACGGACACTTCTGAAGTGCAATCTCCACAGTCTGTCATCAGTGTATCTAGACTTCAACACCAAGTCTCACCCTTGTACTACCCCTCTCAATCTGGCCCATCCCCGGCAGAATAATACAAAAAGATACCTCGGCAACAGCATTCAATACATAACCAGCAGATAACAAGTCAACAGCACATCAACAACTATAAAATCAGTATATCTCAAGGTCTGACTGAGTCTTTGATCCCTGCACAGTGAGATATATTAAATCTAGTTTTAATATCTCAATATTCAATAGATTCTGCAAGGGATTGAGAACAGTAACACTAGGTTTCTATTGAATTTAAGAATTAACTCTATATTAATATAATCATTGACAAAGTCTTTTATTTTGAGATATAAATAATCAGTTCCTCTACATCCTGCTGATAATATTTATATTATTATATAGAAACAGACTTATATTCTCTATAATATCAAGACTCTGAAGAGGGAAAGTCTTGATAAAGAGTATACAGTAGTGCATAGACTGACTGTATAATCGTGTCTGAGACTAGAATCAGAATTTTTGATAGTCTCATTATCAATTTGACAGATCTTATTACACAGTTCTAACATTAGATAGTA